GACATAGCCATATCGCTGTCATTCAGGAATAAGATCACCACTTTTTACTGGCTAATCGTGCAGCTCAAACACATACGCACATTTACAAATATTCATTTAGCAGACGCTTTATCCCAAGCAATTCACGCACAACTCTACACCTATGAAACATAAATACGAAGTACATATTCTTACCATTTGTGAGATACACCTTCATGGAGCTGTAAACATCCTCTGGGGTGAAGTCCGTTCTGGAGAAGTTGTAGTTGTTTCCGAGAACTGAAACACTGCACACACAGACAGTTGCTTAGTATAACGCGAGGCGTTTGTGTGGAGGTATTTAGTGATGTGTGAGCGCTCACAGTTTCCTGTAGGGCAGACAGGCGGCGCTGCTGAGTTGTGCGGGGCTGATGAGCTGTGAGCTGAGCAGAGGCAGGTATCGCCCGAGTCGATGGTCAAACCACTGATCCACCTCAGACTGGATCTCCAGCTTCAGAACTCCAGGCCAGACACAGGACAACACCTGCTGGGCCAAACCCACGGATCCCAGCGGCTCCTGCGGGACACAGAGAGACTCTGAACTGCAGTGAATCTTTAGCGTCCAGGAAAAACAATATAAATACACCATATTTGTGCTCGAAACAAGTACTGCGCTGAGGGTACTCACAGCTACCTTCATAGGGGGAATCTTTTTTACACATTTTAAGCACTGAATGAGACGTCTTTCTCAACACTCTCTATCTAGCATCTTGAATTTTTTCCACTGAGCTTGTTGCAACAAACTATATCCACATAACGAGGAATGTTGAATGGCAGCGTAACAGTGCAGTCTTGTCGTCCGGAGTGTGCCTACGATGCTTAAGCACATTAGCGTGTGCTGGAACACAGCTCAAGGGCATCTGAAAGACCTACCGTCTCCAGATAGCGTGCGATCTGGTTGTACTGGCTGAGCAGATGGCAGAGTCCCGACCCGTCTCCGAGCGTCTGAGGTGTGTTCAGGAACTCGCTCAGCTCGGCTGTAGAGATGGAGCCCAGCAGCTGCGGGAGGAAACACACGGATCAGAAGAGCTGCGATGGAAAGAGATCAAGCAATAGAGGAACGCTGTTGTACCTCAGGCCTCCTGTCCACAGGGATCAGAGACTGGAAGGTGTTGAGGTCTGGAAATCCAAACTGGAGGAAGAAAGACTTGAGGAAGAGGTAGAAACTGCCACTGACATAACAGCGAAGAGGAGCATCTGCAGGAACATACAACACGAAGAACTTTTAGGAGTTGGTTATAAAGTATATCCATCTTTCATACCTAACATGGCAATTATAATAAAAATAGACAAGCAAACCAATCATTTTATATTCAAACAAAATTGAAAAACTCTGGTTATGCCTAAGTTGCACTGTTCTTTAAAACAAAAAGCAAACATTTTACCCCAAATAAAATGCTGTTTGCTTGTTTGCCAAGAGACAGGAGTGTCAGTGAAAGACACACTATGTGCTAAATATAAGGCATTATGGCAGCACTTTACAATAAGAGTCCATTTGTTAATATTAGTTAACTACATTATTTAACATGAACTAACAATGAAAAATACATCTAAAGCATTTATCAATTGGAGTTTGTTAATTTCAACATTAACTAATACATCATCAAAATCAAACAATATGCACTGATACATTATTAAAATATTTTTTTCTGTTAATATCATTCATATGAAACTGAGCTGACATGAACTAACAATGAACAGTTGTATTTTTATTAACTGTAACTGTAACAAATGTATTGCTCATTGCAAGTTAATATTAGTTAATGCATTAACTAATGGAATCTTATTAAGTGTTACCAACATTATATATTCATGTACTAGAAAATTAAAGTACATTTACGCATTTGGCAAACTCTTTCCATTATGCATTTGATCAGTTCATGCTATATATATATATATATATATATAATTCTATAGTCATTATTTACATTTTTATTTAATTGTTTTTATTGTATTAAATTTGCCTTGGCAAAAACAAAGATGTCTGCCATTTTATTCCAAATAATTTAATATTATTTCCACCGAATGTTAATGAAACACCATTCATTTGAGAAGTGATGGGAATAAGGTTGCATTGAGAATGTTTGTGACTTTTTCAGAAAAAATAATGTAAGCATGTGAAATTGTGTTTTATAAAACTTTCTAAAAGTGACTATGGCTGTGCCCACAGCTGAAGAAACACCTGGATGTGTGTGTGTGTGTGCGTGTGTGTGCGTGTGTGTGTGTTTGAGTGTCTGTGTGCGTGTGCGCGTGCGTGTGTGTGTCATCCAGAGCGGTTCTTTGAGAGTCCAGCACACTGACACTGCGTCACAAACACACACACATTGTTTTACTCTGCATATATGCTACTGTCTGTGTTTATTGTCCATGTTTACTGTTGCCATGCAATGCACAAAAAATGGCAATAAATTGACTTATGATGAGTGAATGAATCATCTGAAAACCGCATGAATATTTTCTCACTACAACTGAGCAAAAACACAGTCTCTTACGCCTCCTGTTTGATGCTGCAGCCTCGAGCCCTGACAATGTCGAAATACACCGTAACGTCTGCTGAGCTCAAAGCAGACAGCAGCGGCCTGAGTCGAACCGTGAGCCAGACTGACAGCTCGGAATCACTGACTGAAGGAGACGACAGATTGCCTCGCGCAAACACCATCTGCAGGAAGATCCGCTTCACCTCCACAGAGTAGCTCTGTTTATTCACCTGCACAGAAGACCAAGACAAGACAAGAATGAGGCAGGAGGACAGATGGACATAAACAAATGATAAGGATATTCACAGCTGCAGAGAACAAATCCACAACATACTTGGATGTTTGGAGAAAGAACATCAAAAAACTCTGAAAGCGTCTGCGTTTGAAGCTCATTCATCACAGTCTGAACATCCGCTGGTCCGCTGAGACGTGACGGGTCGGAGCAAAGCTCAGCCAGCTGGGACACAGTCAGAAACTCCACCACCTCAACCTGACAGATAGACAGAGAAAATAATTAATACAGAGAGAGAGAGAGAGAGAGAGAGAGGACGGATCAAATGAAGATGTTACAGCGCAGGATCATATTTAATGTCAGACGAGTTAGAACAAGTTCAGGCAGTTTAGACACTGTTTGCAGATCTCATGCACTCTTTTAGCAAAACTCTAAACACATTCTCACTCACTAAAACACAATCTGAACCGTGATAAACTTGTGGATCAAAACCCTAAACACAAGAAAGCAAAATTGCAACACGGCTGTCATCGTAGTGTGTGTGTGTGTGTGTGTGTGTGTGTGCCTTAAATATGACATATATATATATATATATACACAAATCAAGTGGAACAGAAAGACACGATCGCTACTAAGCAGAAAAAAGTTATTTAGTTAGTTGTAAGTGTTATGTCAGGGCAGTAATCCTAATCATCAGCCGAATTTAGAAGATACACCTGAGATCCTTTATTTGAACCATTAAAAAAATGTTCTAGTGTATTTGCTTTTTAACTATGAATACAAACATCTCTGCTTTTACTTTTGTAGCTATTTTGCCAATCAGCTCCCGACACGATGTAATTCACTGTATGCGCAAATTGAAAGCGTCGCATCTGGGCGTGTCAATGGCGCTCGTGCTCTTTTAAACTCGTAATAAAGCAGTGAAGGATCTGTACAGAAATTACGCTGATCGACAGAACAAGTTTATATTTAGAAAACATTGCAATCACTCCAAAATAAATTACAACAACTCACAGACCTGCATTAAGGGCTGTACTTTTTTGTGTGCCTATTTATCCATTTGCATCGCACAGTTCGCAGCACCTGAAGTATGTGTTCGTTTCGTTACACATTCAGAAGGCGGGACCCGCTTTGAAACTGCAACATTTAATTGCAAACGAGTGTACTTCAACTATATCTAATGAACAATGAGGCTAGTATTTCTGCATGTCTTGGCAGTTTAGACACTGTTTGCAGATCTCATGCACTCTTTTAGCAAAACTCTAAACACATTCTCACTCACTAAAACACAATCTGAACCGTGATAAACTTGTGGATCAAAACCCTAAACACAAGAAAGCAAAATTGCAACACGGCTTTCATCGTATACACACAATAATTCAAAACTGTTCACACTTGTTTCTAAATATGTGAATGTACAAAATATAAGCCAGTTTAAAGTGCACAGATGGCATGAGTGCATCCATCAATCTGAGAGGTACGGAAGAGTGCGTATATGAGGTGGAGGAAGAGGAGGATGAGGAAGAGCAAGACCAAGAACAGTCATTTCAGATGAAATCAGAGCTACTGTGATAGACCATGTTCTTGTGTGTGGAATGACAGAGGCAGCACAAAGAGTTCAGCCTAATTTGAGCAGATTCTCTGGCCACCAGAATCAGTTGGAAAGTAAAAAAAAAAAAAACAGCAAAAGAAGAGTGGAAGAGAATCGCATGTCTTTACTGGAGGCTAGTATTTCTGCATGTCTTTACTGGAGGCTAGTATTTCTGCATGTCTTTACTGGTGGACTGGTGTACAGGGGATGTTACGGTTATGGAGGCCCCTCCTCAAAGCCCGAGGCCCTAGGCAATCGCCTGCTCTGCCTATAGCTAGTGCCGGCCCTGAGTTTGGGCTAGTTTTGAGTAGCAATTGGGCGAATTTTGTTGTGAAAACCTGGCAACCCATTCCGTCAAGCAGGTAACGTTATTATTGCTAACATAGTGGACTCATCGGAAAATACATTGGCATCATCTGTATTAAACAGAAAATAATCACTTCATCCGATGTTTAAATGAATAAAAAAAGCCTTGACAGCCTTACTTACTGGAGATCCACAACTATTGACTTTCTCTCTCACCAGACTTGGGTGTGTGTAGGTGATGTAAAAGAGGAAAGCAGGCATTTGGACCAAAGCACTGTGAGGTAAGGGAGGGGGAGACTCAAAATATTTATAAACTTAAAACACATTTTTGCCCTGTTTGCATTTGTGCTATTTTACTACTTACACTATTATTTAAAGTATAAAACATTGTTATTTACGAAACACAGCATGGTATTTCATTTAATCATATTTTTAGGGTGGACAACCCTCAGATAGGGGGATATTTCCACCAATGGTTGTTTTTCATGTCCACGGGTTTAAGCAACCCCAATAACATGATATTTAGCCCCTAAAATGCTAATTTTACCATGGGAACCCCACCGAAAACATGTATTTTACCTCACCGGAATGCGATTTTTACCGGGGGATCTCCCTCGAAACGTGATTGGGCTAGTTTTGGGCTAGTTTTGAGTAGCAATTGGGAGGGTTTTGTTGTGAAAACCGGCAACCCTGCGTGGGACCCAACACAGCAGAGTGTGGCGCAGACAACACTTGATGGGCGGACACAGGCGGGTAGAGACTCATGTGTGCGGGATGCGGGAGAATAAGGGTGTACTCACACTAGGCAATCTTACCCGTGCCCGAGCGCGTCTGACCCCCAAAGCCCGGTTCGTTTTACTAGTGTGATCGCTCCGTACTGCGCTTGGGCGGGGTTCGTTTAGCCGTCCCTGGCTCGGTTGGAAGAGGTTGGCCAGAGCGTGGTTCAGTTATATATAGATCAGTGAGTGTGGGTGCTAACCGCGCTGGAGTGCGGAACTTCTGAAACGTGCAGCAAGATTGCGTATATATACTGTGAGAGGGCCGTGTGTAACTGCATCCCAAACGACTCAAAATAATAAACCACAAAGTTAACAAAACGATGCACTCCACTGTGCTGAGCGAGAGCGCTTCTCTGCGGTCTTCACGTGCTATCGGAAATTTCTTGTTTCCCACTTATGAAGTCGTGATTAAGAGCACGTTGCATTCTTTTCTGTTAAAACAACAGTGAACAGTGCTTTGTGAATGCTGATGCTTAGCCTAAATAATTTTATCAGGAGCGTCCATGTGAGCGCTGCTGCAGTCTTAGGCCCACCACAATTGCTCTCATTGGTTGTTTTGATGTAGTGTCTAATAAATGATATGTAGTGTGTATAGTATTGACTAATGTGTGCATAATTTGAAACCGATTGTTTGATTTTACCAGAAGAGTCAGGGGTTTTATGAATTAACTTCGAAGGTTTGGATTTGTGTTTAAGGTTTTGAGAAATGCGTGATGGTTTCAAGAAATGTGTTTTAACAATTCAAAAAAACTGTAATTATCTTTCAGGAACTAGCCAATTTAATCCTATTTACCATAGTCATTTCAGTTGATCATTTGCCTTGCAAAGACATCAGCCAATCAGAACAGTGGGTGTTTCCTTTGAAGGCAAGGGGCTCCAAAATGAAATGTTTCAGTCACAAGCTCAATGACAAAGTGGAAAATGACTTATTAAAATGTGACCTTTATTCCAACATTACTAAACACTAGCCTGAACTTCATCAAATAACATGATCATTATAGAATTAAAAAGCGTAGTCCTTTAAAAAGCATTAATGTGGCTAGTTAATTAAGTAGCGTTTCATAACTAGGGTTTCTTTCATTCTTCATTCCGCAGTTTATCGTGGACACTAGTCCGTGTGCTGTAAAGGTCAAGATTCAATAAACATTGGTACACCAAAGACTCACTTGGTTTGGTTTGTTTTATCGTGATGTCATCAAATATAGTGATGAACATAGCTTACAAACAGTCTTTACTGTTTATTACTGGGCATTGTTTGAAGTTTTAAGGAGCAAATGCTCTCACAAAGTGAAAGCCCTAGAAATGACTGACTGACCCTGGCCATCACACTGACGACTGGACTAAACTGAGACACACCTGGGTTCAAAATAGCTGCTCAACACTGCCATAAAATCAGTGCTAGAAATGTGTAGTCACAGATTCTTGTGGATGAAAGGTGCCTGCTATACAAAAGCAACTAGTGCTCACATTTCTCTGTAAGAATCACAGCTGATGGTTCTGGGGATGACAGAGAGGCTATCTGGACCGATCCCAGGGAGGAAAACGAGCAGGTACGTCTGGAACCATAACGAAAACGTCTGCGGATCGAAGGTTTCAAATCTGTTCGCCAGCTCCATCAATGTCATGTTCAGAATGATGTTGCTCACAGCAGTGCTGATGCTTGACACGTTTCTCTGAAAACAAAGCACAACACTAATACGTCACATATACTCTTGAATAGCTGAATACGGAAAAGACAAAACTTGTGATGTTCCAGGAAATCCCTTATATGGACAAAAATATCCAGCTATCAGCGTAACTTGATAGAGATATTCTGAATGAGGAAACTTGAAGACAATAAACACATGATTGCAACAATATATGATTTTTCTGTGTTCTTCAAGTCATCTCAGGTATTTTCATAAAGTATAAATTATAGGTTAAAGTATATTTATAATGCAATGCTTACTGACATGGCCTTTATGAATGTATAGACAACTATAATAATATATTTTTAATAATGTGATTCAACATTTTTTTGGCCAAAAACATAATAATAAATGAAAAAGTAAAAATAAACCAAAAAAAAAAATATCACATGAATACCAAAGTCAACAAAAAAACATTCCCACCTGTGCAGACATGCTGTTGAATATTTCAAAGAATTCATCCAACTGGTTCTTGTTCGGAGAGTGTACAATAGATTCAAACACTTCTCTAACGGCAGACTCATCATCCACCAGACCTGGTGTCAAGATTCGCTCCACCTTCTGTTCACCAGATAGAGAGCCAAACACGGCCTCCTGCAAAGTAGGAAATTCACTTTTACTTCTGTTAGGGAAGGAAACCTCCACACTGGATTCAACATCATAACTGCACACTGAATTTCGGGTAGCAAGGAAAGTTTGAATTGTGCTTTACCCTAGAGATGTTGAATTCTGCCAAGTCAGAGTAAGGCACATACGTGAAGAACTGACCAAAGTTCAAAATCAGCCAGTCAGTGTCATTTTCAATGCTCTGTTTGCAGGCTACAGGATACAGACACAGTAAAATTGCAAATGGTGAATAATTCAGTTGAATTATTGAAATGTTTAACTTACTGTAACAACAATGCTAAGTGTTGACATTCATTTAGATTTATTCACTTAGCAGGTACTTTTATTCAGAGCAAAGTTCAAATGTGAATGATACAAAGAGATATACCTGGCTGACTGATCAGGTGCACCGACTGTTTAACGTAAACTACTAGACTTGCAGCAACTTCCTCTCTTCTTTTGACAGGCATTTGTGAATAAGCCAAGCTGAGTCCATTAACACTGTGAACAACATGAGAGCCACCAACATCTTGAATCTCTTTACACTTCTTTAATAAATGTTTGCAGTACAACATGCAATATAATAAAAATATTTTAAATGGACAGCAGCCCATTGTATTAAAAGAAATGTGGAAAAATTAGAAAAATTGTAACAGAAAGGCAAACATGCTCAGTAAAAATGCAATTTGTGACAAAACGTGCTTTAAAAATTGGCTGACAAGCAATTTAAGATATGCCCTTAATATATTTGCAACCCAGCAAAAAAACTACTCTTAGGCCTGAATGTGTAGTAAAACAAGAGAAAATAATAATAAATAATATCTATAATCACTCACATCACATGGTAGTTGGTGCAGTTGACGCCAGCTGTGACCTTAGCCAGCATTTCTGAGGTGAAACTGGGGAGGATAGGGATGAGCTTCACGGTGAACCACACTACCCAGTCATGAGCTTCAAATGCATGGAATTTTGATTCAATGATTACGAAGATTCGGTTCATCATCAAGTCGCTCACAGCAGGGGTGATATCGGGAATCTGCAGGGACACAACAACAAGAGTGTGAATGGCACTTTATCAAAGCATCGCCCTTCGCGCTACTCTCCGTGGCTTCTACGCAGCCTCTGTCAGACACTTTGACTCATTGACTTGCCTCAGAAGTTGTGGTCAGTGCCGTCAGAAACTCTTCCACGTTCTTGAAAGCGTCGCCTTCCTCCAAGCGGTCGAACACAGCGTTGATCTGACTGGTGTTGTTCAGAGCTCCAGAGCTCAGTGCGAGTTCAGCTACTTGGGTAGGGCTCAGCAGTGCCAGCGATTCAAACTGAAGCACAACATGGGCAGCAGAGGTTATATCATAGGTGAGGCCGTTTACTTCAAAGAAGGGGGGAAAAAAACTCATTCCGAAAATAAATGACAGTTCACTTGGCCCACTGGAGCAAGTCAAGTGTTACTCACGCTGGAGAAATTTTCATTCAGAGTTCGCAAATCCTCCAAGGTAGCGTAGACGTAGAAGTTGCCAAAGTTCTTCTCGAGCCAGTCAGCGCTGCTCACGGTTTTGGACAGACAGGCAGGATCTGGATGGAACATAGGGGGAATTAAACCGAACACCAGTGAATGACAAGCCGAGAGGCTGAAGGATGCTCAAGCAACTACATCATGACAGATGACAACTCAAAACAGTGACAGGATTTAATGTACCTCTTAGGTCATCTCTGGAGAGGAAGGGACGGACGAAGTCGGTCAAGACGAGCCGTTTTTGCCCCACCTCCATGAGGGACGCTTGATGACTGAGAGCCTGCACCCTAAATCGTGGAAGATTGGGGACCATTACGGATTGCCTGACTTCACTCCCATAAACACCACTTCAGGATTACCCACACCACCGAGGATACTTACACGACTTGGTAAGTGTCACAAGTGAAGTTCTTGGAGCTGAGGCAGGACAGGAAGTCCCTGGACGCTGTCGGCAAGAATGGTCTCAGCCTTCCCTGGAACCAGCTGCCAATGAAGCTGGCATCTGTCAGCTGTGCAGCGCTGAAGCTGTTGACTTTCACCTCTCCGATAGCATCGAGAACACGGGACTCAGGCTGACCGTCACTGAGGTTCTGTGAAAGCATAGGGACACATGTCAAAACTGAACTCAGAGACAGCACGTCATCTCCATTTCTGGAAAGCAAGGGTGTCACCTACCTTGATGGAATACTCTGACAGAGCATCCTCCAGAACTCCTGCGACTTTCTGGAAGAAAAGCTTCCACGTCTCTGCGCTGCTGATGGTGCCGCTCTGCGCCTCGCAAGTCAGCAGCGTGACGAGGTTGCCAGAGGACAGAGATGATGCAACCTTGAAAGAAGTGGAGAGATTTGTGCAGTCTGAGAATCAGGACTCTTTGCAAAGACAGGCATTCGGGGACATGGTTCATGGAAGACTTACCGAAGAGCAGGCATATTGCGAGATGCCAAAGTCGCACAGCCGATCCGAGGAAGGAGGCTGACTCCCAAGTGGGCCACTGCAAGGCACAAAAGCACGTTATCCATTTTCACCACATTGAAGCCTATCTCTGTTCTCAGCAGACGCCAAACCTATACTCACCCGTTGACGCCCTCACACAGCCTCTCTTCTGCAAATGGAAAACAAAAAGATGAGCTGAAGAACTTACTAGCTATCTTATGATTTCATTACAAGTCAACAAAATTCTATCGACTAGCATCATGTGTTCTGACTCACCATTTACTAATGTTGGTTTGCACTGGTGAGAGGGAAGACAAAGCAAGAAAAGATAAGAAAACCATTGCTAACAGCTTTTCTTGGGCTTAAACTTTACTCATAACCCCTGTACAACAAAGAAGTACTTACGAAACCGACAGGGCGAGGAGGCGTGCAGCCTGAGGAGAATCCAAGACAAACGAGATTTCTGTCAATGGGAGGCTACTTGCATGTTGTGTACATTCACATCCATTTTGAAAGAATTCTTTTGCTTTACCAAACGACAACGCATTCTTTATGTATCTGAGGATCTTTGGTCAGGCCATACCTTCTGGTGGTGACTGTCGAAGTTCGTCGATGCTAGACTTCAGCTCCTCTCCGACTTCAGATGGTAGAACCTCCAAAGCCTTCTCCAGGCCTTTCAATCTGTCGAAACGTGCAAAAATGCAAAGTCTCAACATTTACTTCCACACACTGAATAAGGACACGAAACCAAGGAAGTCAGATTGTTTACATTGCGTCATAAGAGTCGCAGGTGAGGTTGGCGGGGATCACCACCAGAACTGAAGGACGGAAGCTGGCCAGCAGGACCACAAGATTGATTTGGAACCAGAGCTCGTAGTCACTGGTTCGGAAGAGGGGGAATTTGGGAGCCAGAGCCGTCAAAGTCAGGTTCAGTATTGTGTCTCGGACGTCCGCGTTGGTGATGTAGGTGATGTTTTCCTGAGTGCGAAGGGTGGGAGAAGAGACACCTTTAGTACCATGGCAGGACCTACTAGCACGGCCTGCTTGTTCACAAGTGTCGCAATCCTGATCTAGGCCATTTAGGAAAATTCGAATTTAAAAAGACATTTAAAAAATAAAAAATCAACAACAACAATAGACGACTAACCTCCTGGCTGACCTCCACGAACGCTTCAAAGAATTTCTCTAGCTGCTCTTCCTCTGGGGATTTTAGGATGCTGCTCAACACCTCCTTCACCACAGTCACATTTTCAAGTGCACCGGTGGACGGATCCAACAGCAGCTCTGCTTTCTGGTCAGGTGACAGGGATTCCAGAGCTGCCATCTAAGGCGAACAAAACCCCACCACAAAAGATGTAGCTCGTTACCGCTGGCGCTTTGCTCC